CATGAAAATAGCTGACCTTCTTTAAATCTTCATATTTGAGAAATAAGACGTGAGCTTCATCTCTGTGTTTCCACCAGGGCAACACGTGATCAGACCAAAAGCCATATGAATCTGCAGGAAATGATTCAAATTTACAATCATTTCATTTGATCACAGATATCTAACGGTTTATGGAAGTTTCACCCCATTGCAAGTTCGCTCTCCTACCTTCCCTTGCGAGTTCGCCCCCTGAAGTGACACAGGCTAGGTTTGCACCTACCTTTTCCAGCTCGCCCCTAAACCTTTCAAGATAATTTTTGTTTTATCAGCTGAGTTGATAATGTAAATTGGCCACCGTAAAGAGTTTCAAAGCTGACGTTTCGCGCGTTAGCCCTTTGTCAGAGCGAATGGCAAATGGCTTGTCTTTTACTCTGACGAAGGGCTAACGCGCGAAACATGAGCTTTGAAACTCTTTACGGTGGCCAATTTACATTTTCAACTCAGTTGATAGAAACAAATGAGTTCTCTCGTTATATACTACCACACCGAAGCAGTCCCACAATTTCTTCAGAAACTAAATCGTTCAACACGTTTCCTTGAGGCAGAACGCATTGTTTGCTGTCGAAATCATCGTACCTTTGAAAGATTTGGGGGCGAACTGATAAAGGTGGGAGCGAACTTGTTTTTCCTCAGGTGGCGAACTTGCAGAGACAGTAGGAGGCGAGCTCGCAATGCCGTCAAACTTCCGCTTAGCTTACAGCGAAAACTATTTCCAACGAATAAAAGTCCTTACTTTTGCCCTCAAGAAACAACTTTACAAAGAACTCCCATGTCCCTTTAAAGTAACTGCTAGGGCCAAAGCTTAGGACGAAGTGATAATATGAAACAGCAACGTCTCTTGGATTTCTTGCCACGTAAATATACTTGCTTCTTTTGCTCTCCTCTTTACTCTTTGGAATCACATGATAAGGAAGATGTGACTTAATTAAGCGGGGACTGGGCCGAGAAGTCACAGAGACCTTCTGCTCGTCTGACTCGTCTCCGGGCCTATCGAAGAGCTGACTTGTTTCCAAAAAGGAATAGCGACTTTCCACCCTTTCTTCGCTGATTTGTCCATCGTTGAGTATTTGCCAGACAATTTCTTGCACCCAAGTTGTTCCTGAAAAAAAGGAAAGGAAGTTTAGTTCAGATCTCGTTGTCCGTAGTTTGCATTTCTTGCACGCACTAATTTGGTCAGTTGTAAACATGAGCTACTCTGTCAATTATACGGAGTGATTTGGTTTGCTGTAAAAATTACGCTGGTTTACGTGCTCTCCTATCGACCTTTTAAGCTATGAGGTCACGTGGTTTAAAATGGCTAAACAGTAAGACATGGTTTGATGCTTCTCTGGTTTACAGATTTAATGAATGTAAGCGAAGAAGTTACAATCCATAGACCCAACGTTTCGACACTCCTGTCTAGTGCCTTCATCAGGGGTGATCTAAACGCTCCAACAAGAGGTTCTTTTCTATGATCGCTAATTAGCTGCCTTTTTAACTGACGAGGTGTAAATATGCGTCAGGAAGCAAGCCGCTATCGACACGATTTAAAGGCCTCCAAACAAAGGCGCTAGTGGTAACGCCGATTAGTGGTGATAATTTTAGAATTATCCCACCCAATTGCATCGTTGGTTAGCCATGTGTGCTCCGATAAAGCAGAATTTTCCTTTTTGCAAAAGATAACCGCTTTTTGATGCTCTTTCAAACGTGTACCAAACTGACGTTTGACCTGTCCGATGTATTCGTTGTCACAGTCATTGTAAGGAATAATATAAATGACGTCGGTTCGTTGTTCTTTCGTGACAGGATCCTTAGGTTTGGCGCGAAAGGTTTTTGAGCAACTTTAACGTTGTGGCTTTTCAAAATTCTCTTGATGGGTTCCGTAACACCCTGAATGTAAGGAATAACAGCAAAACCAGTTGCTGGTTCCCTTTAATCAAGAGAGTTACTAGTTGTAACTGGTTTTTGGCAGTTACGGAGAAAGGCTTTTGTAGAGCCATTTGCCTTTAGGGCATAAGAAATATATTTTCTCCCCTCAGCCTTCGAATCGAGTGAAGATGGTAAACAGTTAGCCCTCCTGAGTAAAGTTTTGGCTACAGACTTTTTATGGCAAATAGGGTGGTGAGAATCGAAAGCGAGGTATTTGTCGGTGTAGGTAGGTTTACAGTAGACACTTGTCTCTAAATTACCCTGAACCCCTCTGGACACATTTAAATCAAGAAAGGGCAAATGTCTTTCCTTATCACGCTCGAGGGCGGATTGGATCGACGGCTCTACTGAATTAAAATGCGATAGGAGGCGCTCCGCTTCAATTCCGAATACCGCAGAAATAACATCATCGACATATCGTTTCCAGAAAAAGGGTTTAACCGGCGAAGTGGCTAAGGCCCTTTGTTCCACGTCTCCATTACCAGGTTGGCAATGACAGCAGAGACGGGCGAACCCATAGCTGTACCAAAAACTTGTTGATAGTAGGTGTCGTTATATGCAAATAGCGTGGTTTCGAGGCAAAAAGACAGCAGATGAATAATATCCTCCACAGGCAAAAAAGTTCTTTGTCCTAGGGAAGCATCTTCTCTGAGTCTCTCCTCCGCAACCTTAACGGCAAGATCAACTGGGATTTTAGCGAAGAGCGAAACAACGTCGAAAGATACTAATTCTTCACAAGCGTTAAGAGTCTTATCTCTTATGAAATCCGCAAATTCGCAGGAATTTTTGACAGTGTAATCAGTATTCCGAACAACAGGCGACAAAATTTTCGCAAGATAGCCAGAAATTGCGTAAGTCGAAGAATTATCAAAAGAAACAATGGGTATCAAAGGAATTCCCGGTTAATAAATTTAAGTAAGCCATACAAACGTGGACATAAGCCGTCACAAAAAGGTAGCTAATTAGTGACCATATGAAAGGACCTCTTGTTTGCAGCGTTTAGATCACCCCTGATGAAGGCACTAGACAGGAGTGTCGAAACGTTGGGTCTATGAATTGTAACTTCTTCGGTTACATTCATTAAATCTGTAAACCAGAGTAGCATCAAACCATGTCTTATTGTCCACCTGGTTGCCGTGTCAACTTTAATATATTTTAAATGTAAAATATATTAAAGTTCACATGGCAACCAAACAATGATTAAAAAATAGCATGTGTTGTGGACATCTCATGGACAAAATTCCGTTTTCTTTTGCCGAAATTTTCCCTAGTCATAAATAACTCAGCACTCAAAAGACTACACTGTGAAAGAAATCGGCAACAAAGAAGAGCAAACTGGCCAATCGAAAGGATTGATCTATAGCCTTATCTGATTTGGAAAACTGACCACATAGATATCGTCTGATCGGGTTTCAAAACGACTCAAATCCATCTGAAATATCCCTATCAATGCTGGACGCCTTCCCTGTGGTAGCCCAGTCATAAAATGCCTTTGTTTTTTATGTCGTCTTTTTTTTTTTTTTTTTTTCCTCCGCCACAAAATGGAAAAATTGCGCAATAGTACCCAGAGGTCATTGGGCCCTCAACACCGTGACAACTAACTGTGATCCAATGAGGTGTTCACATGCTGATCACGCGTGTTATCCCTCAACACCATGACAACTAACTGTGATCCAGTGAAGGTGTTCACATGCTGATCACGCGTGTTATCTTGATAATGATTGACGTTGTCATGCACAGACAGGGCCGGGTCACATGACGAATCACGAGATTTTGCTTATAAAACTCTTTGGTCGGTTGTTTTGTGTTTCAACGTATTTGGATTGCGATCTCCTGGAGCATTATGGCGCAAATGCGCAAAATACTTACAGACGCATATAGAAGTCGTATTAATCGCGGCTAATCCACACTGAGAGATGTTATTGAGCGGTAATTTTGGAACGGATTGAGTCGCGAACTCTTGAAAGCCATGAAAGCCTTGAATGCCTTGTATGCTTAGTATGCCAATGTCTTAGTTGAAAAACGTTCACTTGTTGTAAAAAGCAAAATCTGAAATCTGAAACCAAACTGCTTATACTCCATGCAATCTATTGAACAACACTACTACCGTGAGACTGAAGAACATAACTATAATGGATACAAACTGCTCGTGAAGAAAGACATGTTGGATTCACTTGATGGCAAGGAACGTAGCTACGATAACAGTACGAATGGTATTAATTTCACGATCAGAAAGGTGAATCTTATGTTTGTTTTCATTGTAGTTGTATGGATATTCTTTTTTTAATAAATACGTGATCCAAAACCCTGTGTTTTTTTGTGTATAATGTTATTATGTTAAATATTGTTTACGCAATTGTCTTGTCACAGGCGGCCCAAGCTCACTTCTCGAGAAAAAGCCAACGATTAATTCATGAACGCGTCACGCGTTGTGTGACTCGGTGTTAAGTTACGAGAGGAACTGTACGTTATAAGGAATAGTATAGGGAACGAAGTATGGTCGATTTACAACGATACATATTTCGAAATATGAACATTTTTCTCGTAAAATCAATAAAACTTACTCATACCCTGTGTATCCGTTGTATTTTCTGGCGATTTCTGCCGTTTTAAGCTTGCTTTACCATCACTGTTATTCACGTAATCTACTTTTATTACGTTGGTAAAATCTGTACAGACATCACACCAACCAACTCGCGCGCAAAGTAAGAAGACTATATTGAAGGCTTGAAATAATATTGCGATCGATTTTCGTCAAGAAATGGGCCAGGAATATTCCACGATAGTGCAAATAATCGTGAAGGCGGATCGCAGAAAAGCGATTGCGTGACGCTCGGTAAGCTGTAAGATGACATCTTATTATATACCAGACGTAAAAACTCTTCAGATTCTTAGTCTGCATTTTGTACCCACTCTGCAGTCTGCATTTTGTACTAACAGGTATCTGTGGCACCAATACAGTTTATTTTTGGTTACATTTATTTGCAAAATACACATAATCTACCACAAAATACCTGTGAGTGAGGTAATTCGACATTTTCGTTCTTTCCCACATTAATATTCTTCTCTCCTTTTGTAAGAATGTAGACATCACTCACAATGTTTCAAGTAATCCACCCACCCTACAAAAAAGTAACTATTGCATGCATAGCAAGCCTATGTTTTGAAATAGGTGTATGCCCTTGGCCAGACTTGAGCGCACTATTTCAGTATACTAATCCGACACCCGTAGTATCACTACACTTGATTCCAAGGATCCAGTACCATCCAGGTATCCCAGTTACCCCGCTCACAGGGTCTAGTTAATCGTAAAGCTGATTCCCTCGTTCGAGCGAAGGGCTAACTTTCGAAACGGCAGCTCTATAAATTATTTACGATGGCCAATCGACATTATGAACTCAGTTGATAAAACCAAATTATTCTGTTATACCCCTCACCGACGCAGCACTAAAATTTCTATAGAAACTTACCCCTCCTGAGAAACTTAATATGGCTGCGACTGTTGTCAGTTTCACGCACTTATTCGGTCAGATACGGAAATTGGTTTTCGTTGTACGCATTTCTTCGCTAGGTTTTAAACATATGCGACCTTCTCACCCATGACTGCGAAAGATTGCATGCATAATTGTTGGCTGCGTAGAAATTTTACCGCGTTAAACTTGCCACAATTAACGTGATCCAATCTCGATCTATAGCCTTACCTGATTTTGGAAAACTAACCACATAAATATCCTCTGATCGGGTTTCAAAACGACTCAAGTCCCTCTCAAAGTCTTTATCAATGTTGGGCGCATAAAATGATAATCGTATGCCATGAATCAAAGCTTGTCGTGGTGCAAAGAACTCTCCTTCCTTTTCTTGAATGACTGTGAAATGTTCCGACATCGTCGGGGAGATGCTACATCACTGGCGACGAGCGGAGGAAGGAAAAAAGACCGAAATACGATTGAGTGGTCAGCAGTGAAACAACTTTAATGCTTCACTAATACAGACAGATCATTGGTAGTTGCAGAAAACAAACGTGTTGTAACGCTGAAATGTTAACAGTACACTTCGTCAAATAAAATGTTAAGCAATTTTCAAAAGTGCTGTTTTTACATAAATCTTTTCCAGTTGTAATAGACAATGGAAGCATCGGAAAAGCTATCGATAGCATCCAGTAGGGTACCAAGAAGAATTCTATTTACGTTTTGCCGTTGCAACACGTTCTTAGGCCTTTCGTCACACAACAAGTTAAATAACGTAAATATCATTCTTGTTGATGCCTTTCCCGGTGTCATCGATGCCTTCCCAATGCCTCCGTGGATTAATTTCACAATGAATAATATGGTGCTAGTCAAAGCTTTTGGAAAATTGCTTAACTTTTTAATTAGTGAAGTGTAACTTACATTTCGGCCTCACAACGCTATTGTTTAGTTACGAAACGTGAATAGAATTCTTCTTGGCGCCTTTCCAGATGTCACCGATGACTTTTCAGATGCCTCTATTGTATATTACGTCAGTAAAAGATATATGTAACGTGTGCACTGTTGCGCAACACTTACGTACCCTCCTTCTTTTGTTTTTCTCGTGACCGCTGTAAAAGTAGTCAAGCAACACTCTCCCTCCTTAATGCGTTGAATGAGTTGTGCGACGTCTGACTCTCCTGACGAAGCACGAAAGGAGTGGAGGAGGAGGGGAATGATGCTCTTATTTCATGGAGCAAGGTTTCGCACTGGCCGTAATTTTTTAATTTGTTATTTTATTTTTTTTTTTCACGTCCTTTCCAGTAAGTCTAATCTTCTGGATTGGCCCAAGCACGTTTTCTCCTTTCTCCCACGGAAAGGTATCGAAAAAGGTATGGATAATATACATTCTGATGTTAGGGTTGATACACTTTCATTGATCGTGTGAACCCAAATTGGCTCCCGTCCACCGAAAGCGGCGAATAAGAGTCCGTCTTCATCTGTGTTCCCTTTTCCCGACTACTTTGCTATATTCCCTGATTGAAAGATGCTGTTCGCCAGCTTATAAAAGTGACACCAAAGATGACACTTCTAAGCTGTCAATCTTCTTACATCGCGATCGCT